CAACCAAAAAATGAAATATTTAGGAATTACTCTTACAAAAGAAGTGAAAGACCTGTACAGGGAAAATTATAATACACTGAAAGAAGAAACTAAAGTTGATGTCAGAAAATTGAAAGACATCCCATGTTCATGGATAGGAAGAATAAACATTGTGAAAATGGCCATTCTCCCAAAACTGTTATACAGATTCAATGCAATCCCAATAAAAATACCATCAACATACCTTATAGATCTAGAGAAATCACTCCTAAATTTCATCTGGAGCCAGAAGAGACCTAGAATCGCAAAGGCAATTCTAAGCAGCAAAGACAAAGCAGGGGGCATCACAATCCCTGACTTGAAGTTATACTACAAAGCAACAGTAGTAAAATCAACATGGTACTGGAATCAAAACAGAGCAGAGGATCAATGGAATAGATTAGAAGATACAACCACAACTACAAACACACTCAACCACCTTATCTTCGATGAAGGAGCCAAGCAGGTTCACTGGAAGAACGACAGTCTTTTTAATAAATGGTGTTGGAAAAACTGCCTCTACATTTGCCAAAAATTAAAACTCGACCCAAGCCTATCACCATGTACTAAATTAAAATCTAAATGGATTAAAGATCTGAATATTAAAACTGAAACACTAAATCTATTGGAAGACAAATTAGGTAGAAACCCTGAAGACATAGGGGTAGGTAGAGTATTCATGAACAGGACTCAAACTGCATGGGAAATACTTTCCAGAATCAATAACTTGGACTACCTCTTATTAAAAAGTTTCTGTAAGTAAAAAAAAATCTCCAGCATAGTGAAAAGAAAACCCACAAATTGGGAAAAGATCTTAGTGAACTCCCCCTCAGACAGAGGACTTTTGTCTAAAATATATAAAGAATTAAAAACAATCAGACCCCCAAAATTTAAAGACCCAATCCAAAAATGCATCTGAGATGAATACACACTTCTCAGAGGAAGAAATACAATGGCAAATAAATACATGAAAAAATGTTCATCATCATTGGTTATTAGGGAAATGCAAATTAAAACCACACTGGGATTCCATCTCACCCCTGAAAGGATGGCCAGGATCAAGAAAACCAACAACAACCAGTGCTGGAGAGGCTGTGGGGGAAAAGGAACTCTCCTACACTGTTGGTGGGAGTGTAGATTGGTACAACCTTTGTGGAGGTCATTCTGGAGATTTCTCAAAAAGCTGGGAATGGAAGTCCCATTTGTTACAGCTATTCCACTACTAGGCATCTTCCCAGAAGAACTGAAAGCATCATACCAAAATGATATATGTGCACCTATGTTTATAGCAGCACAATTTGTAACTGCCAGATCTTGGAAACAACCCAAATGTCCATCAACCAAGGAATGGATAAAAAAGCTGTGGTACTTCTATACAATGGAGTACTACTCAGCTATAAAGAAGGATCACATTGAGGTATTTATCAACAAATGGGCGCAGCTTGAAACCATCTTCATAAGTGAACTGAATCAAACTCGCATCTGTGAACTCCAAATAGTTTCCCTAGTGTAGGAAAAGGATCAAATATATAAAAGTATGTGATAACCATGATTCCCCATTATATAGCCTTGAAGCCTTATAAAATCTTCACTCATTAATTGGAATGGCTTTATTCTGGGCTGTTTGATATTATGGCCGGTGATGCAATGAACAGCTACTTTGAAGAAAATAAGACATAACAGCTAGTGCCGATTTAATACCATCTTGTCTTAAAGCTGCACCAAACTATGGTTCTTCTGTCTCCATTGATTTTATCATGTTGTAACTTGCTGTATTTTATCGTATGTGGTAATATAAACAAAAATTGTTATAGGCAAAGAGATAATATTGAAACCATTGATCATTTTTTCTGTTACCTGGTTCTAAATACTCTACAATACTTTCATCTACTTGAATGGTGTTACACAGTCTTGATATGTTTGATGCTATACATATGAAGTTATATTCAAATATTTCAAAGAAAAAACACTATGGTAACTACTATTAAGTCGGGTTATTTGGTGGTGAAGCACTAGGTTGCTGAAAGTGTCATGCTTTAACCTGTATTGTTATGTTGTTATGCCCCCTTTTATCTCATCCTCTCCCTTATTCATTAAAAAATTATTTAATTTTTAAAAAAAAATATCAACCAATAAAAAATGCTGCTGGGTCTGTAGGGAAAAAGAAACCCTTTACAACTGTTGGTTAGAGAGTAGACTAGTACAAACACTGTGGAAATCAGTGTGGAGATTCCTCAAAAAATTAGGATTAGATGTCCCATTCAACCCAAGTATCCCCTTCTGTGTATCTTCCCAGAAGGATTGAAAAACATCACACCACAGTGACATATGTGCAACCATAAAGTTCAAAATATACAATAGTCACTGTGAAATGGGAGGAAACTGTTCAGTAAAAAGAAGAAACTGAGATAGGGGAAAAGAGAAAAGATAGAAGGGAAAAGAAAAAATGCAAGTTAGTTATACCATTAGCGTCACTTAGTTTACTGAATAGGAAAGGTTGTGCTAATATTGATTGAAGAAATTTTTATGCCCATATTTTGTACTTGAGTGACTAAAGATAATGATGTGTAACTTATCAACAATTGTTACTTTTTCATTATTTTGTTGTGAAAATTTGTTTTACCTTTTCTTCTTAATATTAATAAATAAAGTAAAAACAAAAAAGAAAGTGACAACCAATGGGTTCTCCTTTTTTAAGCTGTGAACATGCCTCATCCTGGGGGTTGAAAATGGGAATGTCAACAATACACATGGACTTACACTTCTTAGGAGTGTCTGCGAAACTGTGGAATGTGTCTCCCTACCCAAGCCCAGTGCTGTGATGACCTGCACTTCACAGAAAAATCTGCAGATGAGGAAGAGGTGAGGGAGTGACACTGGGTATGGAGAGGGCACACAGGTGTCTGATGGCCTGGAGCACACACTCAGGAAGGGGTCAGTTCAGACAGCATTGGAAAGAGAGCAGGGGGCAAGGAGAGAGATGCTTAGTAAATGAAAAGGAGACCCAGAGAGGGAGGGAGAGGGAGGAGAAGGGGAATAAAAGACTTAAAATGTGCTAAATACCTGCATCTACCTACATAGTGAATCAAACCATTATTTCATGCAAATTTGCACTAGTGAAATATTTTTTGAAGACAGCAAAAAAATAAAAACTATAAAAATGAAAGCATGGGTAGTGTTTCTCTGTCTCTGTCTCTCTGTCTCTTTGTCTCTCTCCCTCTCTCCCTCTTCCTCCTCCCCATCCCTGCTGCTGTGACCCTCTTTCCCTGACCTTTTGCTGTGCTGTTTCTGTCTCCCTGTGGCCCTATAGCAGTGGAGCTGGTGACTGTGCACTGCAGTCCCTGGAACAATCAGTGGAAATGAACCTTTCCTCCTCTAAGACTCCTCAGGTGTTTCCCACACCCACAGGAAGCTCACACAACTGCCTGACAGCGCTGGAGGGAGGTCTTCCCATTTAGACCAAAGGTACTGAACAACAGCACAGGGCCAGGATGTAGCTCAGTGAAAGGTACTTGTTCAACAGCATCCCTGATGCCCTGGGTGTGGTCAGTGAGAACTCACAAACAAAATGACCACAAAACTCAGCAGCATGAAAGCCTTTCACACTGCGGGCCTCATGGTGAAGGTGAGTATATAAGGAAATACAGAATACTGCGGCTCCCTCCCTGCGGGGTGTGAATCACATTAACTCTGGGGTGGAAGTTATACATGGCACAGCTGGGGTGGAGCTCACCTATACAGCACTTGTCTACTATGTGCAGGTCCCCAAGTTTCATTCACAGCACACCAGAAATATTTAAAAGATGAAACTACATCAACTATAGATGCTGGGCATTGTGGCACACATCTGTAATACCAGCTCTCAGGAGGCTGGTACAGGTGGATTATCCTGAATTCCTGACAACTTGGGGTACATAAGCAAATTCAAGGCCAGCCTGAGCTACACAGGGAGACTCTGCCTCAAAAATGAAACAAAACAGCTTTTTAAAAACTATAACTCTATGATATGTTAGTAGATAACTGATTTAAAGCACACCCATTAAGCAATGACACAATGTGTGGCGAGGAGTAACTGATAGACCCTTGGTATAGCCTTGAGGTGAACTCAGGAGAATAGAATGGGCAAGATAAAGAGCAGCGTGTCTTCTGCAAACCTCAAAGGAACCACAAAGTACAACTCCGGCATTTCAGAAAAACGCTGTAGGGATAAAAATTTTGGAAAGGGATTGGGATGTAGCTCAGTGTTGGAGCACTTTCCTAGGATGCCTCAGGCCTGAGTTCAATCCATGGCAATTAAGTTAAAGTAAAATAAAAGCACAAGCAGTAAAGCCAAAGAAGTAGTAAAAAGGAAGTTTATAGTCAGAAATTTGTATATTTCAAATAAACCAGGACTAGAAAAATGGAACTAGAAAAATGGAAAGGAAGCTCACACTCACAAGAGTTGGTTTTCAATCATATTAATACAATTGATCTCTTTCTCCCTCGAGAATCCCTGCCTCACTCCTGCTAATCACCCGAGTCTCCCTAATGCCCTGAACACTGTCGTGTGTTGTGGATGTCTCTGCTTGCTGCCCCTGACCTGCATGGAGGTTCCTCCAGTCATGGCTCAGTGCAATTCTATGTTTGTTCATCTGCAGCAGGAACATGCATCTTTCCTGGAGCTTGTCCAAGCCTGAGAGAGGACGGCCATGGAAAGGACAACAATGGTGGGCAGGAAGATAGGCTAAGAAAGAGAGGAGACCCATGAGAGGCTATGAGAGGAACAACCAGACCAGGGTGACTGGATCCAGCTAAGGAAGACTCCTGGTCTGTTGGCTGCTATGTCCTACACATCAGTGAGATGAGGATCAGTCAGGATAAATAGAAGGAAGGGGAACCTGTACATCAGCCTGGAGCCCAGCCTGGTTCAGCCCTGGGAAAAAACAGCCCAGGTGTCAGTGGATGTCAGTTCCGCTTCCTGTGGGGCTTCTGACGTGATCACCCTATCAAGGGCAGAAACCCGTGCCCAGCTACAAAACTCAGTGTGTCAGGCACTGTGGTCTCATCTATGCACACAGTCTCACCTGGACGTAGGAGATACCATGCCCGCCACACTCACAGCCCTGCTCTGCATTGGTGAGAACTGAGCGAGAGGACAGGAACCCCCTAGTCTGGAACCCACAGGCAGGCCCTGGTCCAGCAAGAGAACAGGGCCTCAGGAGGCTCTGGGGAGCAGAGGAGCTGCTCAGGCTCCAGGGCAAACCTCTCACAAGGAACTCTCTTCCAGGGCTGAATCTGGGCACCAGAACCCAAGTGCAATCAGGTGAGTGTGTCCCCAAGTTTCCTGGGTCCTTCCTCTTCCAGGGGACAAGGTGCCAGCCCTGGGCAGTGCGAATGGAGCACAGCAGGTGTGGGCTGGTGCTAGGAGGTCTGGAGGGTCCTGGAGCTGAGAGCAGGGATGTGAGGGCAGGAAGAATGTCCTGGGACCTAACTGTGATTTCCCTGTAGGGACACTCCCCAAGCCCAGGCTTGGGTCTAAGTCAGGATCTGTGATACCACAAGGGAAACCTGTGACCCTCTGGTGTGAGTGGACGCTGGGGGCCCAGGAATATGGTCTGTATAAAAAGGGAAGCCAGGAGCCCTGGATAAAAAACACGTCACTGGAACTCAAGAACTCGGCCCTGTTCTTCATCTCATCCATGACCCAGCAACATGCAGGGCTACATCGCTGTTACTACCGAGTCCCTTTCGGTTTGTCAGAGGGCAGTGAACCTCTGGAGCTGGTGGTGACAGGTGAGAGGACACTCAGGGGCCCAGACCCATCCTCTGCTCTCAGGAAGGGGTCTGTGCTCAAGGGTGTCTCCCTCTCACAGCTCAGCCCTGGGGACAGTGTGGAATGTGTGAGTCCATTTCACGCGCTGCCTCCTTCTCTCTTAGGAATCTACAGCAAGCCCAGCCTCTCAGCCCTGCCCAGCCCTGTGGTGAACTCAGGAGGGTCTGTGACCCTGCAGTGTGGCTCACAGCTGGGATTTGACAGGTTCATTCTGACTAAGGAAGGAGGAGATAAGCACTCCTGGACCCAGGACTCACAAAAAGACTCTAGTGGGCAATTCCAGGCTCTGTTCCCTGTGGACCCTGTGACCCCCAGCCACGGGTGGAGCTTCAGATGTTATGGCTGTTACTGGAATCAGCCCCAGGTATGGTCAGAGCCCAGTGACCCCCTGGAGCTCCATATCTCAGGTGAGGAAACCCCAGCTTTTTCCGCCTGACCTGACCCAGCCACCTGGGAAACGCCTAGTGATGAAATGGGTGAGGGACCCAGGGATGCTGAACTCAGTAAGAGTGTGGGGGCAGTGAGTCCAGAGCTATTAGAACCAGAATGACACAAGGAAAGTACAAGTCACAGGGTCTAAAGGGAGCTCTGTCTGTAGGCAGCTCCTCTGGTGTCTTCTGCTCTTGCAGATTGGTCTTAATGCCTTCTCCATGCAGGGCTCACTGTGCACAGTCAGAACACATGGACCACTCTTGCCTTCTTCCTCGCAGGGTCTCTCCCAAAACCCAAGCTCCAGGCTCAGCCAGGCTCTGTGATACCATGGAGGAGTCCTGTGACCCTCTGGTGTGAAGGGACCCTGGAGGCCCAACAATACTATGTGTTCAGAGAGGGCAGCCCAGCATTCTCAGAAACAAAGATGTCTCCTGGGCCCAGGAACAAGGCCATGTTCTTCATCCCATCCATGAAAGAAGATGATGCAGGGAGATATCACTGCTACTATCACAGTACTGAAGGCTGGTCAGAGCTCAGTGATGCCCTGGAGCTGGTGGTGACGGGTAAGAGGACACTCAGGGTCCCAGCCCTCAGGAAAGGGTCTGCTCACATAGGTGTCTGCCTCTCACAGCCCATCCCTGAGAACAGTGTGGGAGTTATGAGTCCATTTCACATGCTACCTCATTCTCTCCTAGGAGTCTACAGCAGACCCAGTCTCTCAGCCCTGTTTGGCCCTGTGGTGACCTCAGGAGGGAACATGACCCTGAAGTGTGTCTCATGGGAGCAATTTGACAGGTTCATTCTGACTAAGGAAGGAGGAGACAAGCTGTGCTGGACCCTGAACTCACAGCGAGGCCCCAGTGGGCAGGTCCATGCCCTGTTCACTGTGAGTCCTGTTATCCCCAGGCAGAGGTGGATGTTCAGATGCTATGGCTGTTATAATACGAACACCCAGGTGTGGTCAAAGCCCAGTGATGTCATGGAGCCTCTGATGTCAGGTGAGGAAGTCCTTTCTTTGAACAAATCGTGTTTGAGACCTAAATAATTGACAGCTCTACTACAGAGAATCCCTAGAAGACAGCTTGGAGCAGGACATCTACAGAGCTAGAAACCTCAGTATGACAGTCAGCGCAACCCACAATGCAAGGCAGGAGGGCAGGGATGTGGCAGGAAGCTGCCCTTCAGCCTAGCCTCCCTCAAGGGCTGTCCAGGAAGCCTTCCCTCCTGAACAAGGTGGGTCCTTTCCTTGCCTCTGGGCATAATCTTATCCTCCAGTGTCACTCTGACCTCAGCTAGGGCAAACTCACTCTGTCTAAGGATGGGGCAAGTGACCTCCCACAGTACCCTCTCTGGTGCCCCAGGCTGGGCTCTCTCATGCTGACTTGCCCTTGGGCCCTGAGAGTGGCTCCCACCTGGGTCACTCAGATGCTATGGGGGGCACAGCCTCTCCTCTGAGTGGTCTGTCCCCAGTGAGCCCCTGGACATCCTAATCACAGGGGAGAAGCCCAGGGCTCAGTCAGGGACCCAGACTCTGCAGAGTCCGTGCTGCAGAGCCCAGGAAGTGATGGTCAGGGTGAGGCTGGAATGTCAGGAAGGGAGAGAAAAAAAGAGACGGGAGGGCAGAAGGGGAAGATTCAGAGGAAACAGAGACAGACAGAGAGGGAGAGTCCTCAGAGACAGCTCTGCTGAGACCCAAGCTCAGAACAAGCAGGAGTAGCTCCTCGCCACCTCCTCTCCAGGACAGCTGTGTGCCACACCCTCCCTCTCAGTGCAGCTGGGACCCATGGTGTCCTTAGGAGATATGACCCCGCTGTGTCAGTCATGGATCTCGATGGGCACTTTCCTTTTGTCCAAGAAAGGAGAAGCTGATGCCTGCCTGCATCTAAGATCAGAGTCCTAAGTTCAGCAGTCCCAGGCAGAATTCTCCATCGGAGCTGCAAGCTCAGCCCTTGGGGGGACCTACAGGTGCTATTGCTCTCAGGACTCAGCTTCATATCTGTTGTCACAGCCCAGAAAACACCTGGAGCTCATGGTCTCAGGTGTGTACCCTGTGACCCCAGCATGGCTGAGCACAGGGTCCCTTCAAGGATCTCTCAGCACAGCCCTGGACTGGTTTGGTGTGAGGCACTCTGGGAGAAGCAGACAGAGGTGGACTTTTCTGAGGCATGTCATTGCCTCCTATTTCCTATCTAGAATGTTCCCTGTGCTCAGAAGCTGATATGGGGAGGCCACAGCACAGGCAAAAGAGAGGGTAGAGGTCCATCCTGGGGCAGCACCACTCTACATGCCCTGGAGTCCTCATCCCCAGGATGAGCCCTGTCACCACCCTCAGCTCCCTGCTCCACAGCAGGTGTCTTGCAGTCTGTCGCAGTGTCCTGTGTCCAGGCTGCCTGGCGGTGCTCAACCCATCTCAGGTTCCAGTCTGAGCTCCACTGCTGTCCAGGTGCAGAAAAGAGGGACAGGAGACCAGATGGCCAGAGGCTCAGAATTGGGGCTGCATGGGGTGGTTTCAAAGCTGATGGAGACAGTGAAGTCCAGCCTGGAAAAGGAGCAACAGCTGAAGTGGGAAACAGGGAGCACAGGACCTCATCTCTCCATCCTTCCTAGGAGGCCCTAAGGATCGGCCCCTCACCTTCACAAAACCAGGGCCCCAGTGTTAAATATCTGACTTTATCAATGTTTTTGGAACATTGAACACAGCTGTTTGCAGTCTCCCTGTTTGAATGTCCACCTTGTGTTCTTTGATACTGTGATTTGAGGAACTATTTTCAAGAAAATAGTGTGTAATCTACTAGCAGGTAATTTCTTACTGTTATGGTTTTTTGTTTTGTTTTGTTTTGTTTTGTTTTGTAGTTCTGTATTGCGTGTACCCTTACGCCGCTTTGGTTTGTTTTGTGTTTTTCTCTTTTTCCTCTTAAATAAAAAAAAAAAAAAAAAAAACAGGGCCCCAGGATGGTAAGTGAGGGCACTGCTGGTAGGAGTCCAGGGCAGGGGCTGAACTGGGGGCTGCTGCAGCCTCCTCTGCAGATACAGACTTAGACCAGCCTCTCCTGTGTGGGGCTTAGTTTCTCCAGGTGTAAAGAGAGGCCTGGCCCCGACCTTTAAGTTCTTCTCAGTGACGACCTTGTTGTGAGCCTTAGAGAGACAGCTTCCCAGAGGAGATCCAGGATGTGACTGCAGGGGTCCTGTCCGTCTCTGCAGTGACAGTGACAGTGACAGTGACACTGGGGAGGATGCCAGGCAGAGCAGCAACACTCAGATTCTCTCCCTGCAGCTCAGGAGCTTAGCTCTGGTGGGAGAAGGAGCTTGGAAGTCAGACTTCCTGGGCTCAGTCCCCACCTGCCCCATCCTTTTATGTCATCTGGGACACAAAACTGACCTGAAGTGCTACTACCAGTTCTTCCTCAGGACCACATGTCCCAGTGAGGCCCTCTGTCCCACAAAGTCACCCTGTCTTGTTCCCAGCACTGGTTTGAGACCCCAGAACACAGTGCTGGTGGAGGGGAGGGTCCACAAGGGAGCGTCCCACCGTGAGGAGGCTGATGCAGGCTGGAGCTCCCTGCCCAGGCTCCCACTCTGAAGTCTCCCATGGAGATAATGGGTAGGGATAGACCTAAAGGGACATAAGTGAGATGGGAAGAAGTGGGAATAAACTGAGAGAGAAGACAAGACCCAACCCTGTCCTCCTGATGTTCCCACCACAGAGTCACTGCTCTGCTGTCCCAGCACCTCAGTTGTGGCCTTGCACATGTGGATGGGGGCAACACTGTCAGCTGACCCCCCCCGGGGTGTCCTGCACACATCCTAGCACTGTGTGTGAATTTCAGGGCAGGATCAGTCTCCAGAGGGGTGGGAAGGGGACCCTGAGGGAGCCTGGTGGCTTCCTGGGGTTCTGAGGACATGGAGCCTGCTTCTCTGTGGTCAGAGGGGTGGAGGTGTCTGAGGTCCAGGCAGGAAGCAGGGTCCTAGTGGGCAGAGGGCAGCCTTGCTGGGGTCCTACTGTGAATGAGGCTGAGCCCCCAGCACAGACACTTCTGAAGAGAGAAGTGCCAGGCTACTGGCACTGTGGGGCATGGCCCCTCTTGAGTCCTCTGGGGTCTCTGAGCTCAGTGCTTACCTGAGGCTTGGGAGGAGCCAGCACTGTTGGGAGGGGTCCTGGGGTCTCCACCAAGCAGGGCTGCTGTGCAATCTTGTTTGAGTCATTGTGCATTTCCTGTTTGCACTCATGTGCTGTTGCTCTGTCTTTTCAAATATAAAGAGGTACTATTCTGTGTAAATAGATTTACATCTATTTTGAAATGAAATTGTACCTTAAATAGCACTTGCTTGCATTTCTGTTTTCACAAGAATACATTATCTTTGTATATCAATTATAGAGAATAACAATATCACCATATCACCAATATCAACCATATCTAATATGGTTGAATTGGGCTTTATTAATAAACTTTAGAAATATTTCAAAGTTGTATTCATAAGAATTATTAATATTTGTAAGGAATGTTTAAATTGATCAAGCATTTTAATTATTTGAAAATAATTCTGTGATTCATATTTTCTAAAATAATAACACTAAAAACCAAAAGGATATTAGACTTGATCCTTTTATCCTACACAACATTTATTTTTTTTTATTCATTTACTTATGGTACTGCAAAGTGAAATCAGGACCTTGCACTTGCCAGAATGGCGTTGTGCTCCTGAGCTACATCCCCAGCCTACATATTGATTTTTTATTCTCCCCTCTCCTCCAGCTTTTCAAACAATGTGTTTAGATTTCTGGTAAAATTTGTGTCCAATACATTAAAATGAAAATTATATTTCATAAAATCTCAATAAGATACCAATGTTCTTCATTAAAATGTGCAGGCATGTGGTTATACATATCTCCACCATAATCTAAATATGTACTAATGCATAATTTTTCATGTATCCAGCTATATTTATGCTTGTTCTTCACAGCTTTTGATTCATATTCTATTGTTCAATCAATATATGTTTCTTCTATATTAGTGGTCATTTAACATAGATTTTCATTCTGAAAGTAGAAGCACTGTTTCCATGAAGCAGTAACACTCATGCCATGTGGAGCACACACTCACTTGTACACGCGAGTATCTGTGTCTGTGTGTGCACCACACTGCAGGTGTTTCTAACTGCGTGATAATGAGTTTAGAAGTCACATAGAGGAAGAGACACCAGGGGCCCTGGCTGGGTGTGGAAGGGGGTCCCCCGGCCTTCACCCCATGTGCTCCTGATGCTCTGAGGCCTTGAGGACTAGCCCTTACCCTGGGACCCCGGGTCCTCACTGGTGGCCAGGAAAGCCCTCTCTAGCGGAGGTCACTCATATTGTCCTGTGTCCCACACTGAGCACAGAGCTCACCAGCTTGGATATTTAGAAATTGGAGATCACTGTTGTCATGAATTCTAGACTTTGTGAACTCAGCTAAACTTTGCTCCAAAGGGACTCAGATGCAAGTCTTGAGCTCATGCAGCAGTGAAGCTGATGAGTCTAAGTGACCAGAGGTGACACTGCTACAGCAGCAAAGGCTCACTAAGAGTCTGCATCACGTTTGTCATGATATTGAGACACAAGGATGTGGAGGTAGGAAGAGGCTCGTGTCTGTTCAAAGCTTCACAAACCTCACTAGTCTTCCTTGGTTCCCAGGAGCAGCTGAGACCATCAGTACATCACAGAACAGCTCAGAGCCCAAGACAGGTGAGCAAGAAGAATTCTGTTATGGCTGGACCCCGGGTCAAGTCATGTTTAGGAGCACAGGTGCACATACAGGGACTAGGGGAAATTCTGCTCTATCCTGACCTCTATGATCTCTTTGTCCACACCCCAGGCTCACAGCCCCAGGATTACACAGTGGGGAATCTCATCCAGATGGGCCTGGCTGGCCTGGCTCTGGTGGCCTTTGGGATTCTGCTCTTCCAAGCTCACTGCAGTCAAGGAAGGACTCAAGATGCAGCCAGTATTTGAGGACAAGAATGAGCCTCAACATATGAAGTACCAAAGCTAGGTCAAGAAGATGTAAAATTACTGAATAATACCATTTATATTAATGAAATTGGAAATGTAATTAAGTCCCTACCTACAAAGAAGAGCCCAGGCCAGACGATTCACTGATTAATTCTACAAGAAATACAAAGAAGACAATGTCAACACTCCTCAAACTCTTTAATGAAATCAAAAGGGAAGCAATTCTTCCTAATTGATTCCTGGAAGCAAGTATTACTCTAGTACCAATAGAACTACGGGCCAGTCTCCCTAATGAACACAGATGCAAAAATCCTCAATAAAATATTGGTAAACAGAATGCAGCAAATCATCAAGATTATACACCAGGACCAAGTGGGATTAATCCCAAGCATGCAGGGATGGTTCAACATACGTAAATCAATAAATGTAATTCACCATATCAATAAAGCCAAAAGTAAGAATCAAATAATAATTTCTATAGATGCAGAAAAAGCTTTTGATAAGGTCCAACATTCATTCATGATAAGAACTTTACAAAATATTGGAATAGATGGTCTTTACCTCAATATAATAAAGGCCATCTATGACAAACCAACAGCCAGTATCATACTAAATGGCCCAAAACTGAAGACCTTTACCTTAAAATCAGGCACAAGACAAGGATGTCCCTTATCACTGCTCCTATTCAACAAAGTACTGGAAATACTAGCCAGAATAATAATATGAGAGAAATAAAAGGGGCAAAGATAGGAAAATAGGAAGTTAAATTATCATTATTTGCAGATGACATGATACTCTACATAGAAGACCCACAAAACTCCACTGAAAGACTCCTAGATATAATAAATAAATTCAGCAATGTAGCTGATAGCAAAATCAATACTCAAAAATCAGTAGCATTTCTATACACTAACAACAAGATCATTGAGAGAGAAATAAAAGAAGCCACATCCTTCACACTAACATCCAAAAAATAAAATACTTAGGAATTAATGTCACAAAAGAATTAAAAGACCTATGCAGGGAAAATTATGATACCATGAAAAATAAATTGAAGAGAATCTCAGAAGATGGAAAGATATTCCTTGTTCATGGATAGGAAGAATATATATTGAAAAAATGGCCATTCTCCCAAAACTGTTATACAGATTCAGTGCAATCCCAATGAAAATACCATCATCAACATACCTCATAGATCTAGAGAAATCACTTCTAAAATTCATCTTGAGTGAGAAGAGACCTAGAATAGCAAAGACAGTTCTAAGCAGCAAAGGCAAGGCAGGAGGCATCACAATCCCTGACTTGAAGTTATACTACAAAGCTACTGTAATAAAATCAACATGGTACTGGAATAAAAACAGATCAAAAGATCAATGGAATAGATCTACAAACACACTCAGGCACCTTACCGTTGATAAAGGGGCCAAACATCTTCACTGGGAAAACAACAGTCTCTTTAATAAATGGTGCTGGAAAAACTGTCTTTCCATATGCCAAAAACTAAAACTAGAACCGTGCCTATCACCATATACTAAACTAAATGGATCAAAGATCTGAATATTAAGACACAAACACTAAATCTGTTGGAAGACAAAATAGGTAAAAATCTTGAAGACATAGGGGTAGGTAGAGAATTAATGAACAGGAATCAAACCACATGGGAAATACTTCCCAGAATCAATACCTGGAATCATGTCTTATTAAAAAGTTTCTGCATGTCAAAAGAAATCTCTACCATAGTGAAAAGAAAACCCAAACTGGGAAAAAAATCTTACTGAACTGTCCATCAGACAAAGGACTTCTGTCTAAAACATAGAAAGAATTTTAAAATTCAGACCCCCAAAACTCAGAGATCTAATCCAAAAATGGGCATCTGAGATGAATACACAGTTCTCAGATGAAGAAATACAAATGACAAATAAATACATGAAAAAATGTTCATAATCATTACTCATTAGAGAAATGCAAATTAAAACAACACTGAGATTCCATCTCACTCCAGAAAGAATGGCTGGGATCAAGAAAACAACCAACAACAAATTGTGGAGAGACTGTGGGGAAAAGGGAACTCTCCTGCAATGTTGGTGGGAGTGTAGACTGGTACAACCATTGTGGAGTTCAGTCTGGAAATTTCTCAGAAAGCTGGGATTGGAAGTCCCGTTTGTCCCAGCTATTCCACTTCATGGCATTTTCCCAGAAGAACTGAAAACATCATACCACAGTGGTATATGTGAACCAATATTTATAGCAGCAGAATTGGTAATAGCCATATCTTGGAAACAACCTAAGTGTCCATCAACTGAGGAATGGATAAAAATGCTGTGGTATTTTTATACAATGGAGTACCACTCAGCTATAAAGAGTGATCACATTGAGATATATATAAATAAATGGATGCAACCTGAGACCATGAAATAAATCAAACTCACATGTATAAATACCATATAGTCTCCCTAGTGTAAGAATTGATAATAGTACATAGGAGTTTATGGTAATCATGATTCCCCCGTTACATTGCTTTGAAGCCTTATAATGTCTGCATTCATTAGTTGGAATGGTTTTATCCTGGTTTGTTTGATTTTACTTTCTGCGCTAGTATGAACAGCTCTTGTGAAGGAAATAAGACATTATAATAGCCAGTGATGATTTAATATCATCTTACTCTGAAGTCCTACTATGCCTTTGTTTTTCTGTTTCCTTTGGTTCTGTGATGTTATATCTTATTGGATATTATTGTATGTGATAGTATAAACAATTTTTCTATGGAAAATGAGGTAATATAGTAGCCATTGTTCATTCTCTGCTATTTGGTTCTGAAACCCCTGTAATGCTTTCATTCTTTTGAATGGTTTTATACTATTTTGTTATTTTTGATACTATTGTACATGAAGCTATGCTCAACTATTTCAAACAAAAAGATATTATGGTAGTTACCATTAATTATGGGTTGTCTTGTGGTAAAATTATTTGTTGTTTGCTTTGTTCTAATCTGATTTGCTTTGTTATGACCTCTTTTTTCTTAATCTCTTTAAAATAAACAAGAAACAGAAAAAAAAAAAGAATAAGCCTTAAGTGCAGGCAGTTCTTAGGCCTAAGAACATGAACTCTACATGCCAGGATGGCTGTAGAAGAAAGTCCTGGATTAAATTTGTGTGACCTAAACACTGGGAACCTGAGGGAGGTGACAAAGTTTGGGTGCAAGGGAGTCTGGTATGGTCTGGAGAGAGTTGTCTTTCTGTTAAATGGCTCACCTAGGGTGGCCCCTTCTTCCTCAGCCCTGAGCACCTCTGCTACAGTCCCGCCCCACACCTGTAGTCCCTGATCCCTGTGAGACACAGAAAGGAAGCTGCTCCACCCCACTGGGGTCCCACTGCTGGTGAGGCTGAGTCCCCAGAACAACTGCTCCTGAAGAGAGAAGCACCAGGCTGCAGGCACCACTGGGTATGGCCCCTCCCAAGGACACGGGGCCTCTGTGCTCAGTGCTCTCCTGGGACTTGGGAGAGGCCAGCACTGCTCCCTGGCTCACTAGGGGTCTCTGCAGCAGATCTGCTGTGCAATTTGATGGGTTCTGTTATGCATTTGGGTTTCACACTTGTGTATCGTTACTGCCATTTTCACAAACTAAGAATAACAGTTTCTTGTGAAATTTAAAGATATATGAAATTGTCCTTAAGAATGTAATTACTCAGATGGGTGGGCGGGCTCACACTATCCCCGGAGCCCAGCGTATTTCGCTGCCGCGCCTAGCCATCGGTGTGCAGAGGAGGAGCTGGGAGGATCTGGGGTGCCTGCATCGGCCTCTCCGTGTGTCTGGAGGACTGTGGATATCTCGGCCCAGACTGTTTGGGTCCCTCCAGGCTTCCAGGTGCAGTGAAGGGGAGAGGTGAGTTTGAGGCCTCTACATCCGCCTCCTCATCCCAGTTGCACTTGGAGAACTGCTGAGCTCCCCACAGGTGGGCGGGCCCACACTATCCCCGGAGCCCAGCCTGTTTCGCTGCCACGCCTAGCCAAGAGTGTGCAGAGAAGGAGCTGGGCGGATCTGGGGTGCCTGCATCGGCCCCTCCGTGTGTCTGGAGGACTATGAATATCTCTGCAAGCAGGGAGGGATCGCAGGTTCCTGAGGCACCGCGGCCTGTGGTGAGTGCTCAGCACACTCTGCCCAAATCTCAGACTGTTCCGGACCCTCCAGGCTTCCAGGTGCAGTGAAGTGGAGTAGTGGGTTAGAGGGCTCTACATCCGCCTCCCCATCCCAGCTGCACTTGGAGAACTGCTGAGCTTCCAATGGGTGGGCGGGCCCAGACTATCCACAGAGCCCAGCCTGTTTCGCTGCCATGCCTAGCCATCCGTGTGCAGAGGAGGAGCTGGGCAGATCTGGGGTGCCTGCATCGGCCTCTCCGTGTGTCTAGAGGACTGTGGATATCTCTGCAAGCATGGAGGGATCACAGGTTCCTGAGGCACCTTGGCCTGTGGTGAGTACCCTAACTCAGCTGTGATTAAAGAGCTGTGAAGCTTCTAAGGGGCAGGTGGGCACACAGTGTCCCTGAGGCCCAGCTTGTCTGGAACTGCAGAGTTCTGAGCAGGCAGAGGAGGGCCATTGGTCCTGCAGGCCCAATGGCTTGGGGTAGCGTGGTGCAAGAGTCTCAGTAGCTGCAAACATAGAAGGGGATTTTCAACAGATCCTGAGGAAGCTTTCAAATAACACTTGAAACACAGAATTATAGGAAAATGACAAAACGAAAGACCAAATTACAACCTCAAACCTCCAGCCCATCTCAAGAAACCCTAGGAGCAATGTATATAGAAGAAAATATATCCCATCCACCTCATATATTGGACACAATAGCTACTGAAATTGACAAGCAACTCCAGGAAGCTTTAAAGAAATTCAAACTCAAAATAATTTCCCAGATAAAAGAAGAAATGATAAAAGAAATGAAAGAGATTCTGAATATATCTAAAGAAAACACAGATAAAAAATTTGAGGAACTAAACAAAAAGATAGAATCCCTAGACTAGCAATATAAGAAACAAACAGAATACATAATGCAGATGCACAGAGACATACAGGAAATAAAAAACTCCACTGAAAGTTGTAAAAACCGCCTTAATGAAAGGGAAGATAGAATTTCAGACCTTGAAGACAGGATTGCAGCTAGTGAACAGGAAAGGAAAGATCTTTTAAAAACAACAAGGAATCAGGAAACAACAATTCAACAACTGCAAGACGATGCAAAGAAGAATAACATAAGAATGATAGGGATTAATGAAAAAGAAGGAAACAACATAAAGGATGTCAAGAGGATATTTAGAGAAGTAATAGCTGAAAATTTCCCAAGCATGAGATCAGAAACTGACATCAGGATCAGTGAAGTATATAGAACTCCAAATAGTCATAACCAAAATAAAACTACACCCAGACATATAATAATCACCATCCTAGAAATCCAACACAAGAATAGATTATTAAAAGCTGTCAGAGAGAAAAGACAGATCACTTATAAAGGAAAACCTATCAGAATCACAGCAGACTTCTCAGCACAAACAATAAAGTCAAGAAGAGCATGGAGTGAAGTATTCCAGATCCTAAAGCAAAATGATTTCCAACCTAGACTGATATATCCTGCAAAACTATCATTCAAAATAGATGGTGAAATATGATACTTCCATGACAAAGAACAGCTGAAGAACTTCATGAACACCAAACCAACCCTGCAAAAAATATTGAAAGACAGTTTAGATACACAAAGGAAAAAATCACTAAGCAAAGCAAATAATTAAACAGAACAGAAAGATAAAGATGCAACAGCAGAGAGATAACATTCCTACAATTAACCAGCATTTAACAGTAATAACCATTAATGTAAATGGTCTCAATGCACCAATCAAAAGAAACAGACTAGCAGAATGGATCAAGAAACAAAATCCAACCATATGCTGTTTATAGGAAACCCATCTAAGCCAGAAGGATACTCACAGACTGAAAGTCAAAGGATGGAAAACAATTCTTCATGCAGCAGGAATCCAAAAAAAGGCAGGAGTAGCCATTCTGTTTGCAGACGTGAACTTTAAACCAACAATGACCATAAAGGACAAAGAAGGTCACTACATACTCGTAAGGGGAAAACTCCAAGAGGAAGAGATAACTACCTTAAATATATATGCACCAAACTCCAGAGCACCCAGTTATATAAAACAATTATTAACAGAAATGAAAACTCAAATTATCAGTAACACAATTGTAACAGGAGACCTTAATATGCCATTGACACGAAGGGACAGATCAACTAGACAGAAAATGAGCAAAGAAATAACAGAACTGAATCACACCTGTGAACAAATGGGTTTGATAGACATATACAGAATGTTCCACCCAACAATATCAGAATACACATTCTTCTCAGCAGTACATGGATCATTCTCTAAAATAGACCATATATTAGCTCACAGAACATATTTAAACAAATGCAAAAGAGTTCAAATCATCCCTTGCATGTTATCGGATCATAGAGCTCTGAAATTAGAAATTAATGATAAAAGATACTACAAAAATCCCGCAAACACATGGAAACTGAATAACACACTCTTGAGTAATCAGTGGGTCACAGAAGAACTTAAAGAAGAAATTAAACAATACCTAAAAGAAAATGAAAATGCAGATACAACTTACCGGAATCTGTGGGATGCAATGAAAGCCGTCCTGAGAGGAAAATTTATTGCACTGAGTTCCCACATCAGGAAAACAGAACGAATATAAATAAATAACTTGATGCTACACCTCAAACAGCTAGAAAAAGAAGAGCAAGTCAATCCCAAGGCCAAAAGAAGAGAGGAAATTATAAAAATCAGAGGAGAAATCAATGCAATAGAGACTAAGAATACAATCCAAAGAATCAATGAATCAAAGAGTTGGTTCTTTGAAAGAATAAATAAAATCAATAAGCCCCTAGCCAACCTTATTTTAGAAAAGGAAGAAAAAGCTCAAATTCATGCAATAAGAAATGAAAAAGGTGAAATCACTACAGAAGCAATAGAAATACAGAAGATCATCAACACCTATTTAGAAAACCTCTACTCTCAAAAGTTTGATGACACAGAAGAAATAGACAGATTCTTAGAAGCATATGCAGTACCAAAGCTAGATCAAGAGGATGTAAAACTGTTGAATAACCCAATCTCTGCTAATGAAATTGAAAATGTAATTAAGTCCTTACCCACCAAGAAAAGCCCAAGCCCAGATGGATTCACTGCAGAATTCTACAAGAAATACAAAGACGACCTAATACCGACACTCCTCAAACTATTCAATGAAATTGAAAAGGAAGCAATCCTTCCTAAGTCATTCCTGGAAGCAAATATTACTCTAGTACCAAAACCTGAGAAAGACCCAACTAAAAAAGAGAACTATAGACCGATCTCCCTAATGAACACAGATGCAAAAATCCTCAATAAAATATTGGCAAATAGGATCCAGCAAATCATCAAGAAGATTATACACCATGACCAAGTGGGATTCATCCCAGGAATGCAAGGATGGTTCAACATACGCAAATCAATAAATGTAATCCACCATATCAATAAAGCCAAAAATAAGAATCACATGATCATTTCTATAGATGCAGAAAAAGCCTTTGATAAGGTCCAACATTTATTCATGATAAGAACTTTACAGAAAATTGGAATAGATGGTGTTTACCTCAATATAATAAAGGCCATTTATGACAAACCAACAGCCAGCATCATACTAAATGGCCAAAAATTGAAAGCCTTTACTTTAAAACAAGGCACAAGACAAGGATGTCCTTTATCCCCACTCCTATTTAATATAGTACTGGAAGTACTAGCCAGAGCAATTAGGCAAGAAAGAGAAATAAAAGGGGTAAAGATAGGAAAAGAAGAAGTTAAATTATCATTGTCTGCAGATGACATGATACCCTACAAAGAAGACCCCCTAAACTCCATTGAAAGACTCTTAGATGCAATAAATAAATTCAGTAATGTGGCTGGATAC